CAAATATAGTAAAAAGTTTAAAATTTTATAAAAATAGTGTAGTTCAAATCAAACTTTAAATTATAAATTTTTAAATATAGTAAAAAGTTTAAAAGTTTATAAAAATAGTGTAATTCAAATCGAACTTTAATGCTATGCAAAACTCATCACAAAGTCATAATTACGCTATATTTGGAAAAAAATGAAAGTGATATTTTTGTAAATACATATTACTCTAAATTTTTATATTTCATCCCGTTGTATGTTAAATTTTTACCTAAGTTTTTATTTGAAAAATCGATAAAAGAATATTCTCATGTACATTCAATAAATTATAAAACATATGTCTAATACAAACTCGATAGAATTGTAGAGAAAATTGACATTAGAACAGGATAATTTTAAGAATAATGTAATTTTAAAAATAAATTAAAAAATAACGTAGATTTAAAAGTAATAACAAAATAAAAATAATTTAAATAAAAAGTTTCAAAATTAAGTTAGGCATCTAAACTATCAGATGCTATTCAGGTGTCAACACGTTTTCCATGTACGCGATTTTCTTAAAATATATTAATATATTTATATCTATGTTATTTTTCATATATTTATAAACAAAATATTATTTATTTTATTAGTATTTTAACTATTTTGAATATATTAGTAAAAATATAGATCCACATGCTCCACATCCAACAACAAAAAATACTTTTATTGAAAAAATATGAGTAAAAATACATCATTTCAATTTATAGAAAAATATCACCTATATGAATAGTGACAATGACAACGTACAAATCGAAATAAAAAATACTTAAAATTATCGGCAGCAATTAGAACAAAATGATGGAGAAGAAAAGTTATTAATAACCAGAACATAATAGTCCATTTAAAAAAAATCCCAGTAGAATTAGTATTTTTTGGTTGAATTTTGTAAAAATCCCTGTAGAATTAGTATTTTTTGGTTGAATTTTGTGAGTTCTAGCAAGGTGCATTGACCAAAATTATTTTGTGCAAAATAGCGAGTTTTTGATTTTTTTTTGTTAAAATTAACGGGCGAATTAGCGAATATTAGAGAGGATAAAATCTCAAAATTTATCTAGGTCTAATTTGATGAAGATAAATATTTATAGTGAAAATTGATTGTAACGAATAAATTTTTTTAGACTCAGATTGTTAGAACGTTGCTACATGCATGCTTTCAACATTTAAAATTTGTGAGAAAAGTCTATAGAAAAAAATAGTAAAAACTCAAAGCATAATTTATAATAATTTGAAATCTTTATTTGAGGATCCTATAAAAATTTTACATAAATCATTATAGTAACATAAATAACTTCAATAATCAATTGAATTTAAAAAAAAGAAAAACGAAAAGCCAATGTGAAAGCAAACACCATTATATGGTGCTGGCAATCCAAGTCACTCACATTACTCGAGAAAAATATTAAAGGCGTGTATTAAAAATACTCAACACATACATTAGCATGATTGATGATATCATAAAATATACGTAGACCTAAACTTGTCCTATCATATATTGTTCGGGCAAAAGTGGACAATTAACCCATCCTTAAACCGTATGAACTCTATGGTAGTGCATGAGTAGGTTTTATGCAAAAACTCTACTCCAACAATGAAGATGAAGACCCACCTAAATCTTGTTCTCGTGAACAGGGATCGGACTGGTCACTGCCAAGGACCAACGGTCCCTCGGTGAGCCCCTCCTCGAGCAGCGAAATACATCGATGGGACGTATATCTACCCATCTGCCGCTATAAATACGCCACTCTCTGCCAAGGACCTTCTGTCTAATGCTTACCTATTGAGCTCGGCTTGAAAACTGACTTGGGCTTTGGAGTGGTTACCTCCTTGTAGGTACCTAGGGAATCGTCCAAGTGTGGCCGGCCCTGTCATCTTTTATACCTCAGCTCAATCTTGCATCAACATACATTAACATGATAAGGGAGGTAATTGTCACGATACTTTCATAAAAATAAATGAACATACAAATAGAAAAAATACATATGTTTCCAAACAAAGGGTGGGTACAGAAAGGAAGAGAAAGATTGAGGGATAATCTTTCTATCTAATGGATGATGAGATGGTTTAGGTATGGCTCGAGGACCTAAAACAGTCGGAGTTTCGTTGATGCAGGAAATTTGAATCTATGTTTTGACGACAAAAGCTCTGACGAATACCTATATACATAAGAAATCTGCATATGTGGTGCTAAGTCCAACACATTTAAATACCTAAGTTAGTAAAGGATTTCGTTGAGATTAGAAAAAACTAGCTAAGTTGTAGAACACATCTCCTGCTTAAGATCTTTCCTCTTATTCATAGAGGGAGTATTCTCGAGTTGGTTCGGATGGACTAGCTTGACAAGGTTCAGTTGGCTCCATCCGAGTAGTCCCCAGCTCTAGTTAGGTGGTCGAGTGGTCATGACCTCATCTGATCGAGTGCTTGGATGATCCCGCCCTAATTTGGTCGGGTCAGACACCCCATCTCCTAGACTCCAAACCCATGTGGCTCCTACTTCACTATAATTCCACCTCTAACACGTCTAGTTCCCAATTCTTATACTTTATTTTGGTAAGGAAGAAATCTTCTGATAGATATTAATTATAATACATAACCTAAAATTTTTCCCCCAAAGGTTTTTTTCCCCTTTCCACCTAATTAATTAACCTAGGCATCCACAAAACTTAATTGGAATAAAAAGTCGGCCAAATCCGAGTAAGAACAAAGGCAACCCTGTTTCCAAACGCACCCTATTTGTTCAACTAAGCTCTCTCATCCACGAAACTTCCATGACTTTCCTAATTCCCTGAAATTCCCCTTCACAAAAATCCCTCTCTATAAATACCCTCTCTTCTTCTTCAAATTCTTCAAATTCTTCCCAATCGCCGATAAATTCTTTTCCGACGGCCGGCCGGGGAGAAGAACCACTAAATTCTGTTCCGCCGGAGGAGTCCCCCGCCCTGTTATTGTTCAATTGGGGAAAATTAAGCTTCCAATTTAGGGTAGGGTAGCGAACAATGTCCGATGCGTTTTGCTCCGACTGCAAGCGCCAGACGGAGGTTGTGTTCGACCACTCCGCCGGAGACACGGTCTGCTCCGAGTGCGGCCTTGTGCTCGAGTCGCACTCCATCGATGAGACCTCCGAGTGGAGGACTTTCGCCAACGAGTCCGGGGATAACGACCCGGTTCGTGTTGGTGGCCCGACGAACCCGCTTCTCGCCGATGGGGGGCTCTCCACGGTGATTGCCAAGCCCAATGGTACGTCTGGGGAGTTCTTGTCCTCGTCCTTGGGACGGTGGCAGAATCGGGGGTCTAATCCAGATCGAGGGCTGATTCTTGCTTTCAAGACCATCGCTACTATGTCTGATAGGTAAGGGGGGCTTCGATGTTTCGGTGGCGTTTCGATGTTGAGGAGGCATATGATTTGTTGGGTTTCTCTGGATTGAACTGAATCTCGATTTCGTTTCGGTAGCCTTTTAGCGTTAGAGACAGATCGAATTGAAATCGCGGAGGGGTTGGAATTGAAAAATCTGAGTGGTTTTGAGGATTTTGTGTTCGTGGGAAAACTTTTGGTAATGGATACCAAATCATTGTTGGGTCGGTGTTTGTTAAGGATTTGGGTTATGCAGCTGAGGCTGGTTGACTAAATTTTAGTCATTTAGAGAAGTGTTCCTCTCTTGCTTGGAAAAGAAGTCTATAATAATCCTTAATAAATTATCTTGTATACGGGATTGAGTTATCAGAATTTATAAACTTAGATGTTGCGTTAAGAAGTGTTGAAAATGAAAACTGGATCTGCGTATTCCTTTTGTGGGGAGAATGTTAGATGGATAGTTGAGCTGAATTTTGTAAAATGGTCCGACGGAACTAAAGTTTGGAGTTGAATTTTCTTGTAGCTTCTGCTTTCTTTCTATTAAATCCTGGAAACTTGTAGATGGAATTGAATGCTTTTTAAGTCAGGACTCAGTTAGGTCGATTTATCATGTTGCTTTGGGATTTCAAAATTTTTCTTCATTTTGGGGGGAGGAGCCAGTTCTCTAATATGGATTTAAATGATGAATAGACTTATTGTCCACTCTTTCCATCTAGTGTTTGAAAATTTGATATTCTATAATAGGCCTTGCCACAAGATGGTCATGGATCTTTATATGGTATTTTCTTATTTTCTTTTAATTTTTTGGCTTTCTTATACTAAAAAAATTTAGATTTGTACTTTGGCTGGTTATTAACGAGTGTCCCAGCTTGGAATTATGACTACCTGAGACTGATTTATATTGCTTAATGAAATTATTAGTTCACATATTTTTGCAATATGGATGACGAGTTCCATGGTTATGATGATTTTGGTTCACTGGTGCAATTTAACTTTTGGCATTCAAGCATTGAATGAGATCACTTGTCAAAAAGAGCCACACTAAAAACTAATGCAGCTTTATTGTGTTTCAGGTTGGGCCTTGTTGCAACCATTAAGGTATGCAGTTTTCCATCCATTATGACATAATGCAACGAGTTTCCATTTCTTGTATTTTCTCAAAGCACTCAGGTTAGTTGTCAGTATAGAATGATCATCCATTATGATATAATGCCACAATGAATGGGTCAATTAAGAAGAGTTAGCTTACGTAGATTCTGGTTCATATGAATTGTGAGATACAAGCATAGAACAGAAAATACCCAAAATTTGCCCTGGGAAAAACAGAAGATTCCATGATTTCTAAAGCTTGGGAGGAAACTCATTTCTATCCTCGAAGATGCTTGCCTAAACTCAAGATTGATGCACTTGACTTATTGGTTTAGCTTCAGGACTCGAAGTTTGTTATGACTTATGAGTTTTATTTCTGTAGGAATAAAATTCATATTGAAGTTATTGAGAATGTGGGGAGGGAAGAAGCAAAAAGGGACCATTAGGATAATTGAGGAGACAGAAGATGTTGGATAGTTTGGGGGTGGGGAGTGAATTCATCTATGATTTTGAAGAATACTCTAGAAACGCACTATAGTTGAGACAGGGAAGTGTCTGACATAGATTTTGAGTAAAGACAGGATTTACTGTGTTTAAACATCATTAATGAATTAATGGCTCATTGTTATTTGAAAAAGAAAGGTTAAATTAGGAATTTGGTTCTTATGGCTTGACCCTAGTTCAATTTGGTCCCAATGGTTTTAGAAGTTTCAATTTTGTCCAAATGCTTTGGACTTAGTTTTAATTTGGTCCGTATACTTGGTCAAACCTAATGCATCGTGTTGACATAATCATATTGAACATGTGACATTTTTTTTTTAACGTGACAGTTGATGTTTTCTAATTGTGTTAGCTGTCTGTATTAGGGCTGTTCATTTTTCCTACGGGAATTCTTGTTTAGGATCTTTGCGGGGCAGGGATTGGGGAAAAATTGTCCCTGTCACCTACCTATCCCGCCCCTTATATATATACTTGAAAAACCATTTTCTCAATGAAAGCTCGGCTTTTCATCCAAAAAGAAAAAATTTGAAAAACCCTAATCCTAATTAGTCCCATCCACATCCAGCCGTCTCATCTCTCCCTTCCCTTTCTCTCTCAATTCCTCAGTCCATATCCCTCTGGATATTTTCTCAAAATAACAAGTCCCCTTTTGCTTCCCTCTCCCTCCCCTCTCAGTCTCCCTCTCAATTCCTCAGCCGTCATTGGCTTGCTCCCGCCGCTGCTGTCAGCTCATGCTGCACGCCAAGTTCGATTCCCTAGAGGTTTTTTCCCTCTCCCTTTAGTTTTTTCTCTGACACCCACACCCACCCCACCCCACCCATCGCCTCCCATTCTTTCTCCCCCATCTTCTAGGTTTTTTTTTTTCCCAACACCCACTGCCCACCGTCCACCAGACACCTACTACCTACCTTTCTCTCTCCCTCTCACTATGGTTTTTTCCCCAACAGCCACCCCCACCGACCACCTGCTGTCTCCTGTTCCCTCTCCCTCTCAGTCTGATTTTTTTCCTATGGGAAATCCCCGTAAATTCCTCAAGAGGAATCCCCGCTACATTCCCCACAAAATTTTGCGTGTGGAATTAAACGGGGGGCAGGGGCAGGGATGGGGACGGGGATGGAGAAGCCTTCCTCGTCCCTGCCACGTCCCGTGAGCACCCATAGTCTATATTAGGATTTAGGATTGACGATTGAGTAAAAATTAGGGGAAATAGATTGATTTTTGGGTAAGTAGATGACATTTCGGAACAATTTGTGAGGTTTAACTAAACCATTGAGACTAAATTGGAACTAAGTCTAAACTATAGGGACTTGTAAGGTTTAACCAAACCATTGAGACGAAATTGGAACTAAGTCTAAAATATAGGGACTAAATTAAAATTTTAGAAACCATAAGGACCAAATTGAAATTAAATTCAAATCATAGTGACCAAATTTGTAATTTAACGAAAAATTAAATTAATAGTAGAATCCTCTACAAGGACAAATGCATGCGGAAGTTATTGAAGATGCTATTGAGGTCTGGGGAAGGAGGGTAAGAGGGTTAATAACAGTTAACAGTTTTCTCAGTAGGTGATCACAAAATTAATCTTCATTCCTCATCAAATGTGATCAAAAGCAGTGGTATTTAATATTTATAGACCCACTGTGAATACATCAACTAATAAACCAACTCAACTAATCAAAATAACTAATCAGTTACATTATGAATGAATTTACAACAGAAATAATTTGCTGGACTAGTGAGTGAGCTTAACACCCCCCCACAAACCAATGTTCAATGGAGAATGAACATTGAGTTTGACTTTGAGAGGAAGAAATCGTGCTGCAGAGAGTGGCTTTGTCAAGATATCAGCTATTTGGGCAGCAGCGGGAATGTGAGTGACTCGTAACTTATGAGAGAAAAAATTCTCAAGAAAAAATTCTCAAGACAATTGGATCGTTAGACTGTGGTGCTCTGATACCATAATAGTTTACTCAGTAGGTGACCACAAAATTAATCTTCATTCCTCATCAAGTGTGATCAAAAGCAGTAGTATTTATAGACCCACTGTGAATACATCAACTAATAAACCAACTCAACTAATCACAATAACTAATCAGTTACATTATGAATGAATTTACAACATAAATAATTTGCTGGACTAGTGAGTGAGCTTAACAACAGTGAGGGAGTTGTGGGGCATTAACTGGAATTAGGAGACAGAGTAAAGAACATCGGATACTGGGTAAAAGATAGAAATAAATAAATTATCTATAATTTTGAAGAATTCTCTAGAAGCAGGCTACAGTTTAAGATTAGAAGTGTCTGTTGTACCTTATACCGTTTGAGTAAAGAAAACATTTACCAAATCTAAACATCGTTAGACAGAATAATGATGAGAGCATTAGAGTTTTTTGGATGACCACCTATCCTTGGGTGTCTGACAAAATGATTTTGTAATTATTATCTGTTGCGTGTTGCTGGTTGGTATTGTTCTCAACAATTGGAGAGTCCTTTTGTAGTTTTGGCTTTTTTGGTTACTCGATTCAAAATTTTAGTTAATAATGAAAAGGTTGTATATTTATTTATATACATTAACATGATACAATAATTGTTATTGGTACTACCGTACTAATAATAATAGTTTCTTTTAAAAAAAGCAGCCGTTTTTTACTTCTGATAGACCATATGAAAACAAATGCATTATTTAAGAAAAATTATAAAAGTTTCAACTGATGGTGTGCCAATGTTGCAACTCTTTTTACATATTTTCTTCAAGTTGTATGATTTCTTTTCTTCACAGTTGCTGAGACCCTTTTTCTGGATATAAATGCAGTTGTTGCTCCCGTTAGGACAACTTATCATTTATGCAATGTCACATTAAAAAAATAACCATTGAAGAAGATTGGAAAAAAAAAACAAAATTATGCAATGTCACATGTGAAGATTACAATTTGAATTCTTGGAATTTTTAAGTTTAGTAACACAACACTATAGTGAAATTGTTCCTCCCCAATATTGTAGAGTGCCTGCTGATTATTCAAACGAGCAAGCACAGGATTTTCTCTGGTTTAGATAGGATTAGGTGAAAATATAAACCTGTATTTTCTGGTTTGAAGATCATGTTAGTTTTTGATTTTTGTTGTTGAGTATGAGTTCTATTCATTAACTGATGGGTTTTAGATCAGTTCCATTCCTTTAACTAGTGAGCTTTAATATTTTATAAATAGTCAATCTTCTTCAATGGTTATTTATTTATTTATTTATTAACTGTTAATAGGATCGGGCGAATGAGATATATAAAAGAGTAGAAGATCAAAAATCTAGTAGAGGAAGAAATCAAGATGCTTTATTGGCTGCTTGCTTATACATTGCTTGTCGACAAGAAGACAAACCCCGCACGGTCAAGGGTACTGCTTATAAACCTTTTGATATCTGGAGCTGTTGTAGTTTATTTTCTACTCTTACCTAACCATATGCTCATTTCGATAGAAATTTGCTCGGTTGCCAATGGGGCAACAAAGAAGGAGATTGGCAGAGCAAAAGAATACATTGTGAAACAATTGGGGTTGGAGACAGGTCAGTCTGTGGAGATGGGAACGATACACGCTGGAGACTTTATGGTGAGGTTTTTGGTGAAAATGTCACATTTAATTAAAACTTTGATTATGGATGATGTTGCATTTATTTCTTCTGACATCAAATTATTTTTTTCCTGAATCAACAGAGGCGTTTTTGTTCTAATCTTGGCATGAACAATCAAGCTGTTAAAGCTGCCCAAGAAGCTGTACAGAAGTCTGAAGAGTTTGATATTAGGTAATGTTGGCTTCCTTTAATTGTTGTTTTGTAGTCTCTAGATTTTATGAATTTGTCGTTATTGCGTTATTGCATTATTTTGCTGTCATTTTTTTGATCGGTCCGTTAACCGTTCACTCCGTGATTATATGTTTGACAAAATTCACCCTTTACACAACCATCCTATGGCCTGGCTGTATTAGCCAATTCCTAAGACCATGTAATGTATAATGGGAAAATTTCTGGTAGTCCAGTATCTACCTCTCCTGCCTACTTTGAATTTTTTTTCCTAGATAATTCTTTAATGTTGTTAGACTCCACGTTATTCTTAAATGATGTTGATGTGGTGGACAATAAATAGTAGTGTCACTGCTGGATAGGAAATTTATTTTTGACCTGTAAGGTATATTAGCACATGCATGATTAATGGGATTTTTCTTTGCCTGTCCTCTGTTTGATACTTTGATAATGCTTAGATTAGAAAACAAAAGTAAAATGTCAGTAAATAAGTAAAACAAAAATGTTGATTGGGTTGTTTAGACTTGTACGGCAACATTCTCGTTTCTTTCTTCATTTTTAATAAAGAAAAAAATAAAGAAAAATAGAACTGCATGTTGTAACTATTTCTTCTTTCTAGTTCTCTCTCTCTCTTTTTTTTTTCGGAAAATGAAATAGAAATTTCTTTGGTAATTTTTTTTGTTTCTTATTCTCTTAGGTTTTAAACTATAAAAATTAGATTCTTTTTATAAAAATTAATGTTTTAAATTACATGTTAAAAAATTTTTATGATATATTTATTTTTAATATTTATTGTGTATTTTATAAGTCAAGAATGGTTGATTCATGTTTTGGAATAAATTAGAAATGAGAACAAGAAGTTTCATTTCGTTGTTCCTAAAATTTGTACACAATTTTAGAAATATTTCCTAAAAATGAAAAACAAGAAACAAAGATAGTTACGGATTATGTTTCTTACAAACGGAAAACAAGAAACAAAGATAGTTACTGTTCATGTTTCTTAAAACGGAAAAATTTCCATTCTTTTTGGGTGGGTGGAATTTTGGCATTGGAGGGTAAGGTTATTCATATTTATACTGTAGTTCTCCCAAGAATTTTTCAGTGCTGTAATATATTCCCAAATCAACAGTACCTCCTGGAGCTCACAATTTCTTTGGACTGGACATTTTTTCCTTCTTTTTTCTAAAGAGTATTTTCTTCCCCCATTTCAGGAGAAGCCCAATTTCCATTGCAGCAGCAGTTATTTACATAATTACTCAGCTTTCAGATGATAAGAAGCCTCTGAAAGGTAACCTTTCACTTCGTCATAAGTTTCTAGAGATCTGATCATAATCTGATCTGCAAATTTTGTCATTGTGGGTCCCGACCCTTTGATAACATCATTGATCAAGGGTTTTATGTATTAAATGTGTGGCTGTGATTTGAGTGCAGACATATCGGTAGCTACCGGTGTCGCAGAAGGGACAATCAGAAATTCATATAAAGATCTGTACCCTCACGTGTCGAAGATAATACCGGGTTGGTATGCGAAAGAGGAGGATCTTAAGAACCTCTGCAGTCCTTGAAATGTAGAGCAGAACAACGACTACGAAAACGACAGGAACTCAGACCGAAATTTTAATTACTTTTTTTTGAGGCTCTTCTTGTATTTAAACTCTTTGAGATTGCAAAGAGTGGTAGAAAGAAAAGCTCCTCCCTCCCACCCCTCTCTGCTTCTCTGTTTTTTCCTGAATAGATTATTGCCATTATCAAATTCTAAATGACCCCAAAATTTGCCATAATTTCACCTCATTTCACAGTGGAAGTTTTCCAAAGTTTTGTGATGCTCTCTCATGAAATATCAACACCAATCTCTTAACATCTGCTTCAAGTTTATGAGATAATCTGTCAACATTTCCAAAATGCTTTTAGAATGAATTCTTTTTTCAGTTTATGTGATCTTAAAATGCGTTTAGATTCAACACTTAATTATTTGTCTGTCAAAATGCCAACAAAATAGTTCTTCACTTGAAAATATACATTTTGAAAAGATCAATAAATATTTAGTACGGTTAAAGTAAGAGAGAAATACAGAAATAGTTGTAACTTGCTTTCACTTTTCGAACAAGTCTCTATTCTGTCAACTACTTGTTTGGTTTGGTTCTAGGTTCGAGCATAACATGTCTAAGATATTGTTTGGGTTATCCAACCTTTTTTTTTATTATTATTGAAGAGTCGGTGGCTCTTTGGCCTTTATGCCCCTATATCCGTACTGTCCTGAACCCAAAACCATAGTATGGATCACAAATTGGATCAGTTAGTTGGGATAATAATTTAAAAAATATATATTTTTAGATCAATTATTGAATTTATATTTCTAATTAAATTTCATTTAAAATTTTTGGGTATTTTCAAATGAAGAATTAAAATAGTTAAAGAAAAACATAGGTAGATTAGAGGCCATGTCGCTTAAATAGTTGAGAGAATCTCACAAAATGAATAATATTTAAGAAATATAATGAATAGATATACGATTTGTTACCTTACAGCTTGATGGTAGGAACTATCAAGAAAAGTATTTTTAATCTCTGTAGTTTTTATTTTTATTATTTTTATACTTTTTTCATTTAAATTCTATTTTAATTTCTAATCTTTCAATTTTTGTCTACCTTAGTCGCATTATAGTTCCAAACGTTTGTTTTGGTTTCAATATTTTAAAAAGTGGTTATTTTGGTCTCTAACTACTTGCAAAATTTCAACACAAATTCGATGCATTACAATAAAAATTCTCATAAAGTTGGACTACGTTTTTTAAAATTTACTGAGTTTAATGTTGTGTTGCAATTTTGACTAAAAAAAAAAGAGATATAGAAAAGAAAACGAAGAGACTAAAGCACATACTCTTTACAAGTAGGAGGACTATGTTTAAAACGTACATGGAATAAAATAGACAAAAGTTAAAAGTATCCGATCAAAATAAACATCTTAAAAGTATAAAGACTAAAATGAACAAAAGTCAAAAGTATAGAAACAAAAACAACTCATTATCATTATTATTATTATTTTATTTTAAGAATTTGAGTGCTCGGGATTGATAGAGGATGTACATTAATTTTTATACAAAATAGATAGCTCCAAAAATAATATTAAAAGTAATCAAGGATCTAAAAGAAAACTAGTGGAAAATCAAACTCTTGGGATAGCGTGGTGGCAAGCTCGAGGTACTACTAGGGTAAACCACCCGACATCTATTTCGACGTATAAAAAATAAAGAAACAGAAATCAAATCTAACCCACACGAAAAGTTGCATATTGGGTAGCCTCAAAGTTGTGGAATCTAAATGGGGTTAGGAGAATTTTATTTTTGCGGAAAAGAAAGAAGCAAACGTTATCGTAAGGAAAACCACAAAATAAATATGCTAATAAAAGTTAATATCATTCAACCAATTCGCTCCCGTCAAATCGAGCATAGCTTAAATGGTTAAGTTAAGAGAGAGAGAGTTTTCAAAATGTCGAGTCAATTGGAATCTACTTTTATTTTATTTTTTTTTGAACTTGTGTGGAATTATATAATATATGGTTTTGTTATTAATTAATGACTTGATTTATGTGTGATTTTTAAGGCCCTTTAGAAAAAGTTTTATACTTTATTTACATTACTGATCAAATTTTTTGGAACTAAATTGGGGTAAATTGAAGCAACTTATTATTATTATTATTTAAATTTTCTTAACACTTTTAATATAAAAGTGTTTTCCTAATTAAAATGCCTTTCCTTAAAAGTGACTTTTAATAATAAAATTAGTTGGTTGTACTACATTAAGAGTGATTCTAAAAAATGTTTAGACGACCATAAAGTGATTTGAATATTATTCCTCGTCAATTACTTTTTTAAATAATCAATATTCGAATGTTTCTTAAAAAAATGTTTTCAAATCANACCCGACGTTGCACATAAAGAAACACTTTTAGTGACTTAGAGTGAGCTTCACATACACCTTCTTCTTTTTTTTTTTTAATATTTGGGAATCATGTTTCGAGTGATTAATCTATGTGAGTCAATCAATTTAAATTAACTTTTTGGATAATCTTGGTTGTTGATGCTTGATTCTGTCAAGTGTGCGAAGGTCGGCTTGCTATAAATCGGGCCAGTAAACCGTGTGAGGAAGGATCACCTACATAGAAAAAACAAACGTTCCGAACCTCAAGTCAATGAGAATACGAGCTCAGTAAGTCGGCCTGAAATAAAATTGCATACGTGAGTTGTGGAACAAGGTGTTCTTTTATAGGTAGAATGAAGGAGACATGTATGTTATGACCTTTCTAACAAGTGGTTAGGAAGTTACAGACAGTTGGATCATAGGTCGGAATCCTTATAGCTTGGACAGACATACTTAAGAAGACTTGCTAGGTCTTCTAGATTTCGTAGGTCGGACCTTATGCTTTAGCTGAATAAGTATAACAATCAACCCAAGTTACAATGATGCGTCATGTCAGTTTTTACCTCCCAACATTAATGTGTCCTAAAAAAAGTTTTTAAACTAATCATATTTAAAAAAAATGCTTATTTAATAGTAGATTTTTATTTTGAAAATTTTTTTACTAATAAAAAAACACTTTTAGAAGCTATACTAGTTAGGTAGGTGGAATAAGTGATTTTAGAAAAATAGATTTAATTACAATTAATTTTGTAAAAGTGATTTAATTACAGTTGATTTAATTTTGTAAAAGTGATTGAATTACAATTGATTTATGTTTGGTTTGAAGTGATTTTCAATCCACAAAAATTCACCTGCCAACTAATACTTCAAAATTCACTTTACAGTGATTTTAAAATTTTTCAAAATCAATTTTATAATTTTTAATTTGTCAAACATTCTGCATTATTTAAAAGGAAAGTAATTTTAACAATAACAAACATTATTTTAATTATAACAAAATCACTCTTAAACATAGTGTTTAACCTCCTTCTTCTAAAAAGTGTTTATAGGAAAAATGATTTTATTATATAATTTTTGTTTTTCAAAAGTTATCTAAAACACGCTTAAACCACACACGCCTAAATAAATGATGTTAAATGTTTTCCTTCAATATGCATGTATTTATTGTGATTGTGTGGTGATCCCACGTGATCATAAATGATGAATTAAAGAAAGAAAAAAAAAACAGAAAAAAAAACCATCCATGCAATTTGTTACATGCAAATCATTAATTATGAGAGATCAAAATAAACTTCTTGAAAATATAAGGATTAAAATGAACGAGTCTAACTTATTATTGTTATTGTTATATACATCACTTTTCATACGAAATAGATAGCTCTAAAAAGAATCTTAAAAGTAATCAATGACTTAGAAGACTGGTGGAAAATTAAATTCTTGGACAGTGCAGTGGCAAGCTCGAGATACACTAGCGTAAGCCACACGACATTAATAAACAAAAAAGAAAATCAAATATTAACCCACACATGAAAAGTTGAATATTAGTAGCCTCGAAGTTGTGTTATCTAGGGATTTCTTTAGGAGAATTTTATTTTTGTGATATGCACGATACTTTGAGTCGAAAATAAAGAAGCAAACATTACCTTGATAAGGAAAACCACAAAATAAATATGCTAATGAAAGTTAATAGATTCAACCAATTCCCCCTCTCATTTCCTTCTCTGGCGAGGGGTAGAATGAGTGATTTTGAAAAAAAAAGAGATTGAAATATAATTGATTTTTCAAAATCATAAAAAATAAATTTAAAGTAATTTTAAACTTTCATAAAATCAAAATTTTAATTTGCAATGAAAAGAAAAGTGATTTTGACCGTGACAAAAGTGATTTTGGTCATGTTAAAATCACTCCAAACACACCCTAACTATTAATTTAAGTAGAACCACATTAAGCATCGTTTACAACTGGTATTTTTTTTCTTCTTTCTTCCTTCCTTAAGCACTGTTTTTTAGTGGTTCAATAATGATAGGGGTAAGGATCAAACCATCAACATTTGAAATGGTAAGTAGGTACTTTATTATCTACTTAACTATGCTCAGATTGACTCTTCGCAATAAGAGGAGTCCATGTCTATTATAAACTTTTGGTGAATCTCTTATCTTTTCAACTTAGGATTTCTTAACCGTCCTTCGAGAACAAGTTTTCACAAGTGTACATTTCGTTAAGATTTAAACCATCACCTATATATAGTACTAAGATTCCTATTGTTATCTATTTGTTTAGTTAGGTATGTACTACACCAAATATATCATTTCTATAGCATTTAAGCACAACATTTGTATAAGAACTGATATTAAAAATTGAAAAAAACAAAGCGGAGATGCATTAAAGATTAGTTCAATAATATATAATGGTGGAGATTCGAATCTTCAATATTTAGTCGAGAATTTTTTTTTGAATCTATTTCTCTTTTTCTTTTTTTTTTCCCTTTGAAATTGTGTGGAATTATATAATATATGGTTTTGTTATTAATGACTTGATTTATGTGTGATTTTTTTAAGGTCCTTTAGAAAAGGTTTAATATTTTATTTATATTATTGAAATCAAATCTTTTGGAACTAAATTGGGGTAAATTGAAGCAACTTATTATTATTATTATTATTATTATTATTATTATTTACATTTTCTTAACACTTTTAATATAAAAGTGTTTTCCTAATTAAAATGATTTTCCTTAAAAGTGACTTTTAATAATAAAATTAGTTGGTTGTGCCATATTTAAAAGTGATTCTAGAACATTTTTAGAGAACATAAAGTGATTTGAATATTATTCCTCATCAATTACTTTTTAAAATAATCAATTTTTAATGTTTCTTAAAAAATGTTTTAGATAATCAATTTGATTTTTTAAAATTGATTTTATTTGTCACCCGACGTTGCACATAAAGAAACACTTTTAGTAATTTAGAGTGAACTTGGCATACCTTTTAGTTTAAGCAATTTTTTTGGGACTAAGTGTTAGTCAATTTAAATTAACTTTTTAGATAATCTTAGTTATTGATGCTTGATAATTCTGATGAGCTCCGAAGGTCGGCTTGCTATAAAACCAGCTGGATGAGCTATTAAGAAGCAAGTCGTGTGAGGAAATATCTGCACAAAAAAAACAAACACTCCAGACTTCAAGTCAGTGAGAATACGAGCTCAATAAGTCGGCTTCAAATAGAATTTTGTGTACCTGAGTCGTCGTGGGACATGGTGTTTTTTTATAGGCAGAATGAAAGGGACATGTATGTTATGGCTGGTTTGACAGGCGGTTAGGCAGCTAGGAAATTACAGATGTTGGATCATAGGTCGAAATCCTTCTAGCTTGGACAGACATAGTTAGGAAGACTTGCTAGGTCTTCTAGACTTCATAAGGCAGATTTTATGTTTTAGCTGAATAACTCTAAATAATCAACCCAAGTTACAATGAATGGTCCACTCGTCATGTCAGTTTTTACATTTGAACGTTAGTGTTTCTTGAAAAAGCAAAAGTTTTTAAACCAATCCTACTTTTAAAAAATGACTTTTTAATTATAGATGTTTTTGAAAAGTATTTTTAGTTATCAAAATCACTTTATAAGGTATACTCGTCAAGACACGTAGAATAAGTAATTTTCGGAAAAGAGATTTAATTACAATTAATTTTATAAAAGTGATTGAATTACAAGTGATTTATGTTTAGTTTGAAATGATTTTAAGTGATTTTCCACCAAAAAAAACCTACCAACTAATACTTTAAAAATCACTTTACACCCATTTAAAAATTTTTCAAAATCAATTTTATCATTTTTGTCGACATCGTGCATTATTTAAAAGGTAAGTAATTTTGACAATGATAAAATGATTTTAACGGTAACAAAATCACTCCCATACCACTTAACCAACTTCTTGTAATAGTTTTATTTTATAATTTTCTTTTTCAAAAGTCATCTCAAACACACTCCAACCAAACACATTTATTGTGATTGTGTTTTAATTGCATGGTGATATTAGATGATCATAAATGATGAAAACACCCATGCAATTTGTGACATACGAATCATTAATTGTGAAGTTAGGCAGTTTGTGCATGCTGAGAATATAGGCGCAATTGAGTGAATACAATTGGTCGCTCTTTGTGTATACAAGTAGCCGAACAACTCAATAGGAATTGACATATATGTCTAATGAAGAGGTTGTGAGTTCGATCTCCCACCCTACGTATACTAAAAAAAATAAAGTATATACAAGTGGTTAATTACTTAAACAAAAGTGACTATAGTCCTAAATTTGGTCTTCTAAACATCACGGAAAGATTTCGTGACGTTTTTTCCGACATCATTGTATCACCCATCACGGAAGAGTATTCGTGACATGGATTATAAACATCACGAAAAAGAGATTTGATGACAATTAAAAAACATCTTGAAAAAAGAGATTTCATGACAACTAAAAAACGTCACGGAAAAAAGTTAATGACAGTTAGAAATCGTCACGATAGAAAAGGGATTCAATAATAGGTTAAGAAACTTCACAGAAAAGAGAATTAACCCTTATATTTTTACAAATAAGGGAGAAAATGATGCACAGAAAGAATATATTTTCCTTCTATTTTTAAAAGAATTAAAAAGGTGTCAAATTTTTAATAGCGGTAAGTAAGAAAATAGATACTGACCGATAAGCATTTAAATATCATTCTAAACATAAATTAACATAGCAACTTCTCACACTAGTAGTACTACACTCTCTCTCTCTCTGCACTTCCTGTTTTCAAGAACTTGCAACTTTACTTCTTATGTAGTTTATTTTAGATCCTGTCTACTTACTATAAATCGTAATTAATGAGAAAGAATTGGAATGAAATCAATCGAAATTTGAATGTTGTTCATTTAATGTTGTTTATCAGAAGTTTTTCGAAATTGACATCAGACATCATTTGATGTTATTACCTAAAACTGTATGGAATCGAATTATGAATAAGATATTACAATGACTAGTATACCTCTTTTTTCTCGGTAGCTAATTACTAATACACTATTGTGCTAAATTTTTTTAAATAAAATAATAATACATTTTAATTTATTTTATTACAATTGTATTGACGGTGAATTTTTTTATTATAACAAATTAATAAATAATAAAATCACATTAACTACCAAAATCGAATAAATTTGTATTACAAGAAAACTTATTAATAATATAAATAAAAGAAAAATAATAGTAAAGCGAGTATAGTTCAATGTAATACATATATCTAAATTTAGAGATTATGAATTCCATCCTGAAACCATGTATTAAGAAAAATAAAAGATAAATAATAAAAAGTGTAAACCATGAAGCAGATATTAAGAAAAATAAAAGATAAATAATAAAAAGTGTAAACCATGAAGCAGAAAGTTCATAACAAACTTCAAATTTCTACTTCTCATTCCTCTTTCTTCTCTCTCTCACTTTTCTCACTCTGTTTCTGTTTAAGACTTTTTTTTTACAGTTAAAATCTACCTCGTAATATGAGCAACAAAAGCCTCCAACTCCCGGCGAGAATCGCCGCCGTGCTCCACCGACCGGCGGACGGCCTCCCCAAGCCTCTCGGCGTTCCTCCTCACCTCCTCCCCCTCCTCCGACGCCATCAACCTCCTCACCACACCCTCCACTGCCGCTGCCGCCACCACCACCGCCACCTTTCCACCCTGCCCCCACTCCTCCACCACCATCCCCACCCTCAGCACCGCCGTCATCAGCACCGTGTTCCTCGGCTGGTCCGAGTGCATCGGCCACGCCGCCACCGCCACGCCGGACCACAAACTCTCCAGCGCCGAGTTCCACCCGCAGTGCGTCATGAACCCTCCCGTCGCCCGGTGGCTCAGAATCTCGAGCTGCGGCGCCCACTCCCTTATCACCATCCCTTGCCCTCTTACCAGCTCCTCGTATCCCTCCGGCAGCTCGGAGTTTCGAACTTTGCCTACGTCGAAGACGTCTCCTCTGTCCGCGTCTCGGAGGACCCAGATGAACTTTTGCTTGCTTCTTGCTAACCCCATTGCTATTTCTTTGATCTGCTCCTCTCCCATTGCCGTCGTCGTCCCGAACGAGACGTAGATCACTGATCTCGGCTCTTGCTGGTCCAGCCATGCTATGCAGCCATGGCCGCCCGGCGAGTTCTGCCGGTTCTGAAATAATAATCAAAATCAAAATAAATGGGAGTGAGATGCGATTTTAGAAAAAGTATCTTGAAATGTTTGGGTACATGGTTATTTGCTAACAAAAAGTTAGTATATGGAGTTTGTGGATAGAAAGAATATATGGCAAAGTCATTTTTAATATAATGCTGATAGATTACACTACTCTCTTAGTATTAGAAATTTTATTAATTTGTTGTTATTTTTTCATCAACCAACCACATTTACGTGACTGACTATATAAATGCATTATACGCGCACGTAATTATTTATATTAAAAAGAAAATTCAAAAAGTAAATATCTTAAATGATTATTTATAGCCTATTGATCACCACTAAAAACTTGACAGTTAAATTTACCAAAAACTTTATGATTTAACGTTTTCTAAAGTTCATCAAAGACTACGAATTGAGCATATATCTCGAAGATTTTTTTTTTTAGTACAATATTGTGGATGTAGGAATTCGAACTTATGACATTTTGATCAAAGTTACAGGTGTCTTAACCATTTCAACTATACTCTACTATCTCGAAGATCTGTTAGATAATCTTCTATACAATTCTAGATAATTATAACTTTATGATTTAAGGTTTTCTAAAGTTAGTCAAAGACTAAAAGAATTTATAATAACCTTAAAAGTCAAAAGATCAAAATGAGATTTAAAGCTGAAAAAAAAAATAGGAATCTTGAAAACACCAACACATTTAAAATATTTACCTTGTTAGTAGTGGGTGAGATCTTGAGAGGGTTGAAGGGACCCAAAGCCCAATGCTTAATCTCATCTTCGACCCTTTCGATCACTTCCAAGTACGGCCGTTCGATCACTCTACAAGCGTTATAGATTTTTCCCGCCGCCGTCTTCGGCATCTGATCAAACTGCCACGCAATGAACTCCAAAAACTCCGCCGGAAAACACCCTGCCATTGCCGGGACGTTCAATTCCTT